AGCAGCAGCAGCAAGGACCCAGGAATGATAAGATGCCACTTTGGCTTGTGGGGCATGGTGCAGTGAGTGCAGCAATGACTTTACTCTCTGGAAAGATGGGGTGCTTCAGCAGCTTGGACTGTGGGGGACTCATTCTGTTCCAGGTAGGCATGGCACTGTGCCTGTTTGGCCTAGGGAGTGGGGTGGCATGGCTTACCCAAGGCTCTGAATCACTAGGCTGGGAATTACTATATCTGCTTAGCTCTAGAAAGTGTGGGTACAGGAGTCAGGGGAGCCTCTGTATTCTTGAGGATGGGTTGCCACATTAGATGTGGTACCAAGAGGTACAACTGCTCTTGTGTGCTGGACGATTGGCGTCCCTGGGGGGCAGGATGCTTTGTCACCTCTGGGGTTGGGAGAATGCTACTCGAGTGTACAGGAGACCTGAGGTTTCCTTCCTTTCTCTGTGCAGCCATCTCAGGTTTCTGTACTTTCCATCATTTCTACTGTCTATTTGCTGTTCTTTCATGCTCTCCTTTGGTTATTTTGGTAAAAATATAGTTGCTTATTCATTATTTTGGTCTTTTTTATGGGAGAGAAAGATCCGTAGCAGCTACCTGTCAGCCATCTTGCTGACATCACTCCTCTGGTTGCTTTCTATTGTCTTCTTTACCTTCATCTTTAGAACAGAACCCCAACTTTTAACTGGGCATGCAGCTGAAATATCCTATTTATCTACTAGGCTTCCTGGTGTTCTATTTGGCCATGTGACTAAATTCTTGCTTTTAAGATGTAAATGAAAGTATTTTATATTACATCCAGGTTGTCTCCTTAAATGGAAGTAGTACAGCCTTCATTTTTTATTCCTCTGCCTGATTACTGGAATGTGGATTATTAGAGCTTGAAGAGCATTCTTGGCTTATCAGATAGCCTGTTACCGACAATGGAACAGCAAGAATAGGATGTGGGGTCCTTTTGACTATGGAGCTGCCATGCCAGTCCTGGATTGCCTACCTTGGAACATCTTTTACACGAAAGAGAAATGAACATCTCTCTTGTATAAGCTACTGTTTTCTGGGGGGTAATTTTTTATATACAGCAAACTTTAAGCACAATTTATATAAAGTATATAAGGTTAAAATTTTCAAATAATAGAATATAATAAAGGGAATTTAACATTGGAACTACACTAGATATAATTTAAAATAATGTGATATCTAGCAGGTACTGAATTACTGAAGAGCTGAATTACTTTTTGGGTCTAATATAACTTAATGGCCTGTGGTGTTATAAAAAAATCTATTTGCTTGTCTTGAATTTTCTATCCTTTGGATTTTTTTAGAAATACAGGTTAATTTTGAGAATAGTTTTGTTATTTAGCTGCAGTATGCCTTATATTAATTAGGAAACTCAGACATCTTAGGAAAGTTTTTGGAAACATTCTTTCTGGAATCTATTTTGTTAAAATATTCTGGGACAGATATTCTGCTTTTTTTTGTTTGTTTTTTGAATGTTGGTGATACCAATGTATAAATTAACATGTGATTATAATGCTTCTCATAAACTTTATTCATCTTTGGTCAAAGGGTAACAGTCTAAATAAAAAGATCTTGGAATTTTTATTGTCTTTGGATTTTTATATTATTTTTCTAACAATTTTTTTGAATTGTGGTAAAATAATTTTTAAGTGTTCAGTTCAGTGGCATTAAGTATATTCCTCTTGTTGTGTTACCACCATCATCCCTCTCTAGAACATTTTCATCTTCCTACGCTGAAACTGTGTACCCATTAATTAAACAATTGGTCTTCATACCCCCTTCCCCCGCCCTCTGGCAACTACCAGTCTACTTTTTGTCTCTATGAATTTGACTATTCTAGAAACCTCATATAAATAGCACCATACAATCTTGTCCCATTGTAACTGGCTTATTCCATTGTAACATAATTATTTTGTATTTACTTGGGAATAATCATAAATAAATTATGATTGCCTAAGATTCTCTTTCTTATGTTTATCTTCTGAACATTTTCATTTGTTTTAATTATAATGGATATTAACAGAGTAGGCAGTGTTTTGATAAAGTAGGGTATTATAATTGCTAACCTAGGAAATATCATACAAAGCTGAAGTCACTATATAGCTATATGCTTTTATTATGAAGACAATTGAAACCTAAAATGAGCAATTTCTGTTAATAATAGATCAGAGATGAGTGCATTGGGTATTTTGGCAATTTCTTGAGTTTTCTATCACCCTGTGAAACAGTATAAATATCATATTGCAGGGTAACATTTGATTTTATACATTATCCAAATCTGTAATTATATGTTAGAAACAGGTAAAATGTGATTTTAGGGTAAAATATCAACGTTCACAAATAAGCTGTTTTCCCATTTGGCTTATATTCTGTTTGTAAAACAAATGGTGATTTTTTTCTTTCTCAAACTGTACAGATTTTTGAGATTGAACAATAATACCTAAAATAATATTCAGGTGTTGATTATTTTTGTTTTCTTGGGAAAAATGTTGGTATGTTGGTGATATTGTGACTATGAATATAACACTTTATCCTTGACATCACTGTTTTATTTTTATTTCTAAAGCTCATATCACTTCTTCTTGCTCTTTCTTGCTTTCCTCAGATGCACTTTACAGAAGCACAGTTTAATAAAACCTTTTTAGTAGATTAGTAGTTATGGATCTTTCTAAAATCCCAGCTAGAAGAAATAGGATAGGGAGTTGGCATAATGGGAAGCAAGCAACTGTATTTACAAATCTTAGACGTTGTCCCACAATTTTGGTGTAACCCTTCAGCTGACAATTAAATTTTTTGTTTTATCAGTCATCACCCAACCCTAACAGATGGGTGAGGAATTAATCTGATTTGTATTTTTCCCCACAACTTTCTCCTACATATTGTACTATTCTATGATTAACATTCAGTGAATTCTTAAAGATGATTGATGGGCCTTAAATATATAATATATACATCCTATTTAAATTATGCCAGAGTAAAACCACAGAACGGAAGAGCTCCTAAGACCCCTGTAGAAATTTGAAAACAATTTTGATACTCTCGTCCACTCAAAAAGAAATCTGCTAATACTGTAATGTTTTTTCCCTTGCCAGGACCCTCCTTGCCTGGTGTCATTTCTTGAGCTCTCCTGGGAGGAGATTAGTCTAAAACAACAAAGTAGCCAGATGTCTGGTTCTGAGACAGTCCCAGAGGCCAGGCTACGGTAGGCAACAGAAATCGCGTGGGGCTGAAGATCAAAGATACCTGAGAATTACTTATGAGCACATAGTATGTGTCATTCCCATTATTAACAGTCTGAGAAAATTTGTTTCCCTAATTAACCCTTTTGTTGGAATAACCTTAAATTTTAGTGAGTATATTTCAGTTTTGATATGTTTTCTTTTGTGTAGTGTTAAGTGCACACACCAAAAAAGAGAAATGAAAAGGAACTCTCATGCTTGATTGAAATCTCTAAGCCGTTATTCTTATCCCAAATATATATGCTATCAAGTGTCTTATCATTTATCATGAAATAAATGGGCATTATAATTCTAAGTTAAAATTACAAATCAATAGTTAGGAACTATATGGTTTATATGTACAAAAAGCTGTTCTTAAATTCCTACTCCTAATCCTTTAAGCACAATTATTTCAACTTTTAACTGTTTTAGAGTGGTGATTTTTAGATCACAGCTTCCTGCTCTTAAAATGAATTCAGAATAAATCCCAGTGGTGGGAAATCTGTATCTTATTAATAGTTGACCTCTTTCTCTTCACATTGGTATTATTAATGAAATGCTAATTAAAAATTCTTGTTGTTCTTTACCTGTTTGCTTTTACGATATAATCTTGCATTACTTAGACATATACAAAATTGGAAAATACAAATGCATTTGCTGTTTTAGGTTATTCTTAATTCTAGAACCTCTAAATGCTTTCAGCTGAATTTATCTAAAGATTAGGCAAAAATCCAATGATAACTTTGGATTTTTTTTCCTCTAGATGACAGTGTCAGAAAACAAAAGATTTTGGTTGACTTTGCCACCTGTTTTTGTTTCTGCTTAACATTATCATGTAACAACAAAAGTATGTAAAAGCCTCATTCTTGCTTTTCCTGAGATGTAATCATAAACCATTGTGATCAAGACCACGATTAGTCAGCTTTAGAGCTTTTAAGAGCTACAACACAGTCTTTAGCATCTAGTAATGTAAACTTGACATAAAAGCTGTAAAAATGTCTTTAAATCTAATTGGAGATATGTGTAAGCAATTTAGTGGAGAGATTTCATATTCTTTGTGTAGTGGTCAAGGCTTCTTTTAATTCCTCGAGGAAAATGAAGCTCCTAGGAGCAGTTTATAAGGATTAACTGATTTATATCTTTGTTTCTAGATTTAAGTATTGAAGCAAGAATAAAACAGGCTTTTGTACAAAGAACTAGAGAAACAACTGTATTTTTTTTTTTCAGAGCAGAATTTGTTACTTCAGTGACAAAGGATGGTCTGTGTTTTTCACTCTTTACACCTGTGTTTCTGCTACTGGCTTCTCGCACAGTGAACAGCATTTGCTATCACTCAAGCACTCTAGTTAACTGTCTTTCTGTTTTGAATGCAAATTGAGTCAGTGATGGTCACTTTACCATAAATATTCCTGAGCCCTAAGAAATGGATTACTTTAAGCAAGTTGTATTAGAGAAAACCATAGTTATCTCAATTCCTTTAAGTTTTTTTATAGCAAGATTTGATCTGAAGCAAAGCAAGTCATAGTTCTAGAACTAAAGTCCAAAAGAAAAGAGATCCAGCTTTCCACTCGACTATGGCTCAAGGTGCTGTTCGTGTTTCTCCTCTTCAGGTAACGCCATATGTGCCTCCCCTTTACCCTTCACCCCAAGACACATGCACACGCACACACACACACACACACACACACACGCACACAAACACACAGTTTAAATGGGCATTTGCTAAAGAGAAAACTGAAAGATAACTTCTCATTTTGTGTTTCAGAAGTTGTCAATATTGCTGACCACTTACTTCTTAATGTATTTATTTTGAATTGCCTCATTGGCCATTGGTGCCCTGCCCCTTGCCTCCACCTTATTTACCTTATGGACCATCACTGCACATATCATCTCTTTGTGTGACATGCCTTCCACAACACTGTGCAGAGAAGTGTTTAGTTGTGCTTTAAAATATGCTGTTCTTGTGATCGTGAATAAGTCTCATGAGACCTTACAGTTTTATAAAGGGGAGGTCCACTGCACATTCTTTCCCGTCTGCCACCATGTAAGACAAGCCTTTTGCCTTCCATCATGATTGTGAGGCTTCCCCAGCTATGTGGAACTGTGAATCCATTATACTTCTTTTTCTTTAGAAATTAAAAAAAAAGGTATTATCAAATTTAAGGAGGTAAAGAGTGTTCATTTTCTAGTTGCTACTCTTCACTAACTCACTCTACCTTCCTCATTCATAGATTTCTTTTTACATTGCCTCCTCCTCTACCTTCTGTTATTTATTTTTTCTTCATCTTTTAGGTCTTAATTCTGTTTCTTCATCCTGTCTGTAGCTCTTCAGGAAGGGTTCTGTTGTTAAATTAGAGATAAATTGTAAAGGCAGGCAATTAAGAACTCTTTCTAAAAACACCTTTAGTAACAATCCATATTGATTTAGTACTTGCATGGGTGTTGAGGTAGTAGTAATCTGTAAACTTTTTATCATAAAATTATGTGCTTACAATATAAATTCAGTTGGCTTTGTTAAAATGTAAAGTTTTAATATGTGTTTTAGTTTCTCTTAATTTTAAAAGCTGTGTATACAATCTTAAAATTTTCTTTTTAGCTCATGATGGCTTGAAAGGTTTTTTGAAGTATTTATTTACTTTTTTACTTGTTTGATCAGTATCTCTTGTTTTCATTTAAAGTTATATTTATTCTCACCTGAGGTTTGGAGTAATAGCTTTGAAACATGTTACTCTTTAGAATGGTGGTCTTTCGACTCCTAAGTTGTCCAAGAGGCTAGGGCTGCAAAGTGGTAAGATTAGATCTTGGTCAATGGGAGTGTTCTTTATTCAGTGCATAGCATGTTGCTCAAGAGGGCAGTTGTGGAAGGCAAGGATGTTTGGGGAACAAAAATGATCAGTCCTTGAATCCTTGTGACTTCTAACTCTATTGCTAAAATAAAGATCAGCATTTTAAAAAGCTATAATAGAACATTAAGTATTGCCATTGATTGTATTCAATATGAGTGGTTGACAGGAAACATTTTAAGTGGATTATTTTTCTTTTTTTCAAGTAAGATTTACATGAGTAAATATGAAATGAAACTACAGCTGATAGATAAATCAGATACCTAAGAATAATGTTGGAGAAGCTGGGTTTCCTGACGATATGAGGCTCAGTTATTTTAGCCTGGGGATTTTGCCTGGGGAAAAATGTATGTGCCTCAACAGCTGAAGGGCTATTCAGGAAGAAACAAAGTAAAATGGCATCTATTTTAACATGTAATTTCGATATCTCATACTTAATCTTATCCTTGGCAGAAATGTCAAAAAATTCTAGGGGCAAACCATCTCTGAAGCCGTATCCATACCAACAGATTGAACTGGGTAGATAAAGTTCTTAGGAATCAAATGGTTTTCATTGGAAGAGGAAGGTCCTTTTAGGTAATTCTCTGGAGGGAAGGGAATACTCTGGTATAATCCAAATGTAGATTAGGCTTATTTCAAATATAGGAATGTGCAGGCTAAAGAAATTGCTGGCGCGAGTTGGGGGGCACATTTTAGAATTAGTATATCACACTTAAATGTGTTTCCTTCACATGATTTTCTATTTGTATTTACTCTCACTTAAATTTTTAAATAACATTTTCTTCACTTATCTTTACTTTTGTAAATTTTATAAGTTTTATAAATTTTAAGCTTATCCAAAGATGAATTGCTAATGCTGGAAATCATAGTATAGATCTGTCCTTATTGCCTTCTTTACCACCCTTGAGGGACCAAATTATTCTAGCTGCATAAGTTGCTATTTAAGGTAAAATCAAGTTTTTAGAGATGGCATAACTAGATTTCTATTTTATATACATGCTTTTCTTTTGTTTACCCTAGAGTGGAAATGTACCTCTTTAAGGAATTAAAGTGGTAAAGTCTGGCCACTATTTATCCTGTCACCACATGGCTGCTGTTGATTGTTTTTTAATCAAAAATCAAGTTTCTATACTTAATGACTTGGAAGATGCATTACATTTTGTCAAAACATAAGAATGCTTAAAGAATAAAGAGCCCCTGGAATCCCCAAAAGATCAAGAAGGAGATGTGTATAATTTTGTTGTTTAACACATATATAAGCATTAATATTTATAATGGAGTTTAGTATTTTGTATTTATACTTCCATCAACAATATATTGTAGTGTATTGTTTAGAGACTATTAAATAGCTCAGGATTTACTTATGGAAGAAAAAATTCTTCTAGTTCTTTTTTTCTCTTTTATTTGACTTTTTCTCAGGTTGTTTAATAAAGAGCAAATTTCTTCAATATGAGGAAGATATTTACTTTATATAAAACCCTGTCTGGTATGTATGGAAGTAATCCAAAGAACTGACAAGTTGCAGAATGGTCACTGTCACCTGTTTAATATATTGCAAAAACTGTTCAGGTAATGGAGATAACTGTGTGAGTGAAAATTAGTGCCATAGCCTTTGATACTTAATTTTTGCTTAATTATTAAAATGCATATAAAGTATATCAGGTTGGTTGCTATAAATAATGGTGTTGGTTCCCTAACATTTAAAATTCATAGAACTGTTAGATAAATGTACTTTTGTTTGACCACAGGATCCATTTTTTATTAAAATGCCCATAAGAAAATGTAACATTTCTAGAAACTCATTTTTTAAAAAATGATCAGTACAAAATCATCAGTACAAAATGTTTCCCTAGCCAAATTGGTAGTCTCATGCTTTTTTAAATAGCATTATTTAGAATAGTCCTAAAAGCACGTTTTCCCATTAAATTAAATGTCAAATTATGTGCCTTCTTCGGAACCTTTTTAAGGGGAAATTTCAAGGAATGAGACTATGTTTAATTCACTGAAATGAATTATGATTTCAAACATCTGTAAGGTATTTTAAAGATGATCTTATGTAACGTGGTAATAGACATTTTTAGTGGAATATACCCTTCAGCTTTTCCTTACTTGATATATGTTGTAGCTTGGAAAGAAAATCACACACAGATAAAATATTCTAGGAACTAAGCAGCATTAAAATAAAACATATGTGTTACACATGCAAACAGTAAAAAGCATGTCCGTGGGCCAGCCTTTTTTATTTTAAGAAAAACTGTCTTCAATAATCATTTGAGATTAAAAAAGATAATTTTGACATATCTTTTTTGATTTTACCGTCAGCCAATTGTAGTAATCTGTCCACATACTTTTCTCATTCGAATCAGCATTCACAAAGGCATACACTTTATAGGAACCTTAGGAAGTTCTTGGATTAAACTTAAAAACTACATTTAAAGGACACATTGATATAGGAGTCCCCTCACTTTTATCCCCATGAAGAAATAGTAATGGCTGCCATTTAGGGCTTCCTCACACTTCTAGTCCTCTATATTGACTGAGGAATCTTTAGACAACTGGTGACCAAATGGTTAGCTTTTCACCAACTTGGGCTTTTATATTTGAAATTCACATTTAGTCTCATTCCTACCTACTGCTGCAGAATGGCCTTTAGACAACTAGACTTTAAAAAGTTAAAAGGCAATAAGTCAATCCCCTGGAAACGATGCAGAAACGTAGATTCAAATCATAAATAAGGAAATGCATTGAGTACATTAAACAGACATAGAAAAATGGATTTCTGTCTTTTGTAGTAAGGTAATTGGGCACTACTGCTTGGCAGGAGCTGGTGCTATTGAGCTAGCTCTAGCTGCCACAGGTTGATAGGCAGGTGATAAGGCAGCTTCCACCAGGGTCTGCACAGGAGGCCTACCTAATATGCTGTCTGCCCTAAGGGCCTATGGGAACACAGTTGGATTATTATGTTAATGCATGAGCCCGCTGCCCTCTTCCTATCCCAGCTGGGTTCCCTGTTGTTAGGAACTGCTTTGCACTGACAGTGGAGTAATATGCTTCATGATTGAAAGGGCAAAGGGGCTTGAAAGAAAAAAAAAAAAAAAGAATAAGCCTGAACAGATATGTAAATGAGGGAAGGAAATCTGTAGGAAGATTTCACTCTAAGTATATAGAGAAAGTTTATTAGAAAGTTCTTACAGCCCTCTGTAAAACCACTCATTTCTTAATTAATTTCTGGGTTTGCTTTCCTTCCTAACACTGTATGTATGCCGTACATGGAAGTATTTTTCTAAACAGGCACTTAACTTGATTTGTTTTAAACTAAGATGCTCTAACACATTTGTACCCAGGTATAGTGTTGACAGCAGTGCATTTTTTTTTTTTGCTTGTTCATTATTCTTTAACGTTTGTTCCACAGTTATTTCACTATATTGTATAGAAGAGTTTATTTTTAAGATGCTGAAGGATTTATATTTTGTATTACATTGTCACTTTTATTTCTCTTTATTTTTGATAATAAGTTTAAAACTGCATGAGCTATCTTTTGGGAGTGGGTGTGTATGGAGGACAGGAAATGGTTGGGTGGGTCAGAGGGATATTTTCTCGAGTTGATGAATTTGATATGAGTGGTGGTTCAAACATTTTATGTTTAGTTAAGGTTTTTAATGTTGACACCTTAACATAGTGAAAAGAGTGTGGGCTTTAGTGTCTAAAGCCTGTTCAAATGCAAGCTCTACTAATTAATTACTATCTGATTTTAGATAAATTATTTTACTTCTCATTTACTTCAGGTGTAAAATGGGTATACTATGAATTGTAATTGGCAGGATAAAGAATATAAATAATTTGGCATGACATAGAGTGACTACTCATTAAATCTTGCCATAATGATGATATTTAATTGCAGTTGTAATAACTATCATTCAGTTATGAGATCATTCTTTTAATATGTATAACTGTTTACTTTCCATGGACTGAGGATTTTATCTACCTCATTTTCAGCAAGTCTCACCAAATAGGAGTGACTTTAGCTACAACCAGAATTTGACAAAGAAAAATATTCAGATAGACATTATCTAACTTAAAGATTTAAAGGCTCCTCAAACAAAATGCTAGGGTATATTTCTAAAGTTAGTTTTATAATAAGCCATACTTCAAATTCTAAAAGAAAACTGAATGGAAAAGAAAACCTAGTTGGTCCAGTGTTCTAGATAGCTTCTGTAGTTACTTTTAATATGTGCCTAAATTTGGGAAAGTTTTTGACTATCCCTACATATGTAACTTTTTATACAAGTTCGGTATTCCTGTTTTGAAAATCTGAAATCAGAAATGCTCAAAAATCAAAAATATTTTGAATGGCAACATGACACTCATAGAAAATGCTCATTGGTGCATTTTGGATTTTGGATTTTCTGATTAGAGATGCTCAACCAGTAAGTATATATAATGTGGATATTCAAACATCTGAAAAATCTAAAAATTGGAAACATTTCTGGTCCTAAGCATTTTGGTTAAGGGATGCTAAATGTGCAATCATTTGTTTATTTAAGCTAACTTGAAATGGCAATATATAGTTGGGGTGTATTTTAAGTACATCTTATGTTTTTTTAGCAGCACTGCATCTATTGCATGAAGCGATATGGGTAAAGATGATGTATGCACAGTGCCTGGCACACATAGAGGGATTGAGAATTGGTAGTTGTTATTAGTGCTAGTGAATTTCCCATATCAACATACCAGCCTGCATTAGGCATGCTTTGCAGACTTGCAAAGAATTTCAGAGTCAGCAGATGCAGAAAGTTTGGGGCTCATTATAGGCTCCATAGTTGAGTAGTATGGTGATCATATATCTGGTGAAAAAGAATTCACATGATCACTTTAATGAAAAATATAAATATATATACATAATTTTAACACTCTAGTAAAAGCTTTGTTCAAGTTTGAGGTAAGTACCTTGTGATATATCAGAAAAGAGACTCCTTTCTGAAAAGGTAATTGTGCATTTGACTTTAAATATTAAGAATAAAGAGGGAAGGAACCAATTCTATCTGAGCAGTCCTTCTTTATAGTTGTAGCAAAATCCTTTTATAGCATGTCTTTATATTACCCATTTAGTTATGTATACATGCAGTATGTGTATGGCATATGTATACATATATGTACTAATATATATGTACATACACATATGTATATTTACATGTGTGTATAATGTGTGCATCTGTATCTCAGAATCAGTAGTATACTTAGGGATATTTCTTTTTCTTTTTTTAAAAATTTATTTATTATACTTTAAGTTCTGGGGTACACGTACAGATCATGCCAGTTTGTTACATAGGTATACACGTGCCATGGTGGTGGTTTGCTGCATCCATCACCCCATCATCTACATTAGGTATTTCTCCTAATGCTATCCCTCCCCAATCCCTTGACCCCCTGCTATTCCTCCCCTAGCCCCCCACCCTCCCAGGCCCTTGTGTGTGATGTTCCCCCCTCTGCGTCTGTATGTTCTCATTGTTTAACACTCACTTTTGAGTGAGAACATGCAGTGTTTGGTTTTCTGTTCTTGTGTTGGTTTGCTGAGAATGATGGTTTCCAGATTCATCCATGCTCCTGCAAAGGACATGAAATCATCCTTTTTTATGGCTGCATAGTATTCCATGATGTATATGTGCCACATTTTCTTCATCCAGTCTGTCATTGATGGGCATTGGGGTTGGTTCCAAGTCTTTGCTATTGTGAACAGTGCTGCAGTAAACATACATGTGCATGTGTCTTTATAATAGAATGATTTATAATCCATTGGGTATATACCTAGTAATGGGATTGCTGGATCAAATGGTATTTCTATTTCTAGATCCTGGAGGAATTGCCATACTGTCTTCCACAATGACTGAATTAATTTACAATCCCACCAATAGTGTAAAAACATTCCTATTTCTCTACATCCTCTCCAGCATCTGTTGTCTCCTGATTTTTTAATGATCGCCATTCAACTGGAGTGAGGTGGTATCTCAATGTGGTTTTGATTTGCATTTCTTTAATGACCAGTGATGATGAGCTTTTTTTCATGTGTTTGTTGGCTGCATAGATGTCTTCCTTTGAAAAGTGTCTGTTCACATCCTTTGCCCATTTTTTGATGGGGTTGTTTGCTTTTTTCTTGTAAATTTAAGTTTTCTATAGATTCTGAATATTGGCCCTTTGTCAGATGGGTAGACTGCAAAAATTTTTTCCCATTCTGTTGGTTGCTAGTTCACTCTAATGATTGTTTCTTTAGCTGTGAAGAAGCTCTTAAGTTTAATTAGATCCCATTTGTCTATTTTGGCTTTTGTTGCCATTGCTTTTAGTGTATTAGTCATGAAGTCCTTGCCCATGCCTATGTGCTGAATGGTATTGCCTAGGTTTTCTTCTAGAGTTTTTATGGTGTTAGGCCTCATGTTTAAATCTTTAATCCATCTTGAGTTAATTTTTGTATGAGGTGTAAGGAAGGGATCCAGTTTCAGCTTTCTTCATATGGCTAGCCAGTTTTCCCAACAGCATTTATTAAATAGGGAATCCTTTCCCCATTGCTTGTTTTTGTCAGGTTTGTCAAAGATCAGCTGGTTGCAGTTGTGTACACTTAGTAATATTTCAAAAGGAGTTCTAATTGAGCACATTCTTTAAAAGTGGCATTTAAAACATCGCCTTAGGTTTGAACAATAGTTGTTAAGTTGTTAAGACTTTGAAGAAAAGACATTAAAGGAAGCAATAAGCCCATGAGATAGGGGAGAAAAGTCAAAGAATTGTAACTTTTTTGTATCCTTCTTCTCCCACCAAGTAATAGTGCAAGCTGTGTATGCTGCCTGTGTTCAGAACATACTTAGACATCTACCCCAAGCCGTATCCATTCCACACTGCATAGTTATATATCTGCCTTAAACATAGCTCATCATGGAATAAATAATAAATTCTGTTTTAAAGGAAGTCTGATTTTAAAGGAATGTCTTTGTTTTCTTTTTAAGTTGTTTTGGGCTGGGTGCAGTGATTCACGTCTGTAATCCCAGTATTTGGGTGGCGGCTGTGGTGGGACGATTACTTGGGGCCAGGAGTTAAAGACTAGCCTGGGCAACATAGTGATACCTCATCTCTACAAAAATATCAAAAAAAATAGCTGGATGTGGTGGCATGCACCTGTGGTCCCAACTACTTGGGAAGCTGAAGTGGGAGGATTGCTTGAGCCTGGGAAGTTGAGGCTGCAGTGAGCCATGGTTACACTACTGCACTCCAGCCTGGGTGACAGAGCAAGACCTAATAAATACATAAATGAATAAGCTTTGGGTTTGACATATGCTAACACTCCTTTATAGGTTGAAATGTTCTTGAGGACAGTGATCATATCTTACATTAAGAAAATATTTCTCTGTTTTTTATACACAGTTGTTGTTCATCATATGTCTGTTCACTGAATAATTGGGTTGATTTCAATGATAGCAGGCAAATTAAAGTAGAAGGATTCTAACTCCATGGATCCTAGTGTCCCTTGTTTTCTCTTACTTTTCCCTGGTTCTCCTTTCAAGGATGCATTTCCGGTGTGCCCTTTGGCATCTTCATGCAACTGCTCACTGAGTTAAATTTCCAGTCTCTCTGACACCAGTGATAGTTTCTGCCTCTCCTGACTACTTTCCTGCCTTCACCAACCATTTGTGCCTCTTTATATCATCCCCATGTTATTATTTTATGAGCACAAGAAAGGCCAGAGTTGGAGAAATGATGACTGGGTTAGAAGATATTGGCATAGGAAAAATGCCAAGATCTTGCCAGGGGGTTGTTTGTACCCTCCTAGAAGCCATTACCTTCACCAGTGACTGTGCGCCCCTTCTGGTTGTGCTCCCCATTCAGCTTTGCTTTTCAGGTAACTTCAGGAGAACCCTGAATGATTCTTTTTAATCCAAACTGCACTCCTAATTAGAATTGTGAAGACCTCTATACAGATTTGTTTTTCCCTGAGGACCTTAAGGTACCTCCCACTCCCAACAATGGTTAAAAAATGTATTTGTTGTTGAATATTTTCTGAAGCCTCACAAATCTTTAAATATTGACAAAGAAGTACCACCCACATAACAGGTTA